CCCCCAGCCCAAGCCATCCCCGTGTCCTGGGGTGGCCGGAGCAGAGAGGGTCCTCCGAATGCCACAGCTGATGCAGCTCATGGCGATTTCCACCCTGGCTCCCGGCAGATGAGACCCCCCTCTGCCCTGCAAGTTACGGGGGGCGCAGCAGCCCCCTGAATGTTACCAAAAACAGCCGCTGCAGCTCGGTGGGCTTTGGCTGGGTGGGTCCTGGCTCAGGGCAGGGTGATGTTCCCCCCTCCTCCAGGTCCTGCTGCCCCCCGTGCCCTGCTTGGCCTCAAGAGGTCCAGAGTGGCACCGGGATGTGGAGACGCCTGATCCGGGTTCTTGGGGGTGCTGGTTTCTGGATTCAGCATCTTCAGGAGGGTTCAACGTGGGGGCCACAGGGCTGCCTCCAATGTGTGTCCACTCACATGGGGACACCAGGGTGCAGGGCTCTCTCCATGGGGCCAGTGGGAGCCACAGGCCAGCACCAGCATGAAACGCAAACTCTGGGCTCAATTTTTGAGTCAGGCTCAGATTATTTCCCATAATTATTAACAAAAATTCTATTTACATCCCAGAATCGCCAGAGCAGTTCCACTCCCAGGGTACCAACAAGCAGCAAAGAGCTGGTCCTTGCAGCAGGGAGGCCCCCACCTAAAGCAGCCAAGGGATGCGGTGGTTGGCACGGCACTGGCACAGCCTGGCAGCCAGCACAGGCCACAGGGGCTGGTGAGGAAGCCCTCGCTCACTGCCAGTGTCAGCAGAGAACCATCATGGAGGCACCGCCAGCCCCTTCGGCACAGCCTGGGGTGGGGTTGGATGGGAGGATGGTGATCCCCTCCTTGCCTCCGTCCACGCTCTCAGCTCAGATCTTCTGCACATAATTCCCAGGGAAGAGCCCTTCCTTGCCATGCAGCCGGCCTTTCCACCAGCCGGAGGTATCTGGGAAAAAGAGGGAACCAAAAGAGCTGGGTCGGGTGGGGGGCTGCCATGGGGCACAGCGGGGAGGCACTGGGCAGGATGGGGACTGGGTCGTACCTTCCAGCAGGATGTCGATGGTGTCCCCCACGTTGAAGCTGAGCTCGTCCACGTCCTGCCCGATGTACTGGTAGAGTGCCCGGCACCGCGGCACGGCGGCTGCGGCTTGGGCCGTCTGGCTGGTGGTGGCCGCTGGCTCAGGCTCCGCCGGCGCTGCATGCTGAGGGAGTGGGAGGAACGGCATTGGCACCGGGGAGGAGAGCGTGGGATGCACTGCACACTCCATCCCACCTCACAGTGCCCCATGCCTGCAGCGCCAGTGGGTCCTCCCAGTGTAGGAACTGGGAGAACTGGGGTGCACAGGAGCCTGCAGCAAGGCCAAATTGCCCAGACCTGCTCAGGCCATGGCCAATGGGGAGGGGAAAGAGCATCTTGTGGGACTGGGAGCAGTGGAAGGGGAGGATGGGATCTGGGGGGAAAATGGGTGCAGGTACGGGACCTACCCGGCCACCCCCTGGTCGGGCACGTTGAGGAAGTCCATGTTGTGATCGGATGGGGGCCGTGTCTTAGTCTGGCGGGTGGCATTTCGGGGTGGCAGTGCGAAAAAAAACCCCGCCGCTGTTTTTGGGGTGCCGAGTAGGTGTCGAGCTGCGCTTGGCTGTTGCTGCGTGGGAACTGGGGCGCCCCATTTCTGCAGGCACCTGGAAGAGGCCCCCCCAGGGTGGTGCATTACAAGGGGCTCAGCCTGCACCCCCCCCAGGTGGATTCAGGCTGGGGTGTCCCTTCCTCTCCACCCCCCTTGGGCACTGCCCCCTCACCTCTGGATGCTGGGGGAGTGCTGCGGGAGGGCGCTGGGTGCCTGCTGCCACCTCTGCTCTGCGTTGCCCCCTTCCTTGTAGGCTCTGGGGGGACACAAGCCCCCCATGTTTGGTGACGGCCCTCAGTGCTGGGGGGCGGCTGCCTTTGCAGTTTGCACCCCGTCACCCTTTCTTTCCCCAAAACCCCCCATGTTGCCCCGTCACCCAAGCAGGGTCCTCACAGGTGAGATGCAAACCCTGCAGAGTTGGAGTACATGCATCTCACCCCAATGGCCCCAAGCCGTGCCCTGTGTCCCTGGTGCTCCTGTCCCTCCCCATTTTCACCTCCCATGCCCTGGCACTCACTGGCGTTCCTGGGGAGCCCATCCCCAATGCTGACCGTGAGGGTTTTGCCTCCAGCCTTGAGGGTGGCCACGTCCCCCTGTCCTCTGATGAAGGTGACGTTGCGGGTGCCACCACCACCCCAGCCCTCCTTCTTCACTCGAAACTGTAGTCTGGGGGGGAGAGAGGACTGTGAGACCACAGGGGTGGGACACCATCCTGCTTTGTCACCTCTCTCGGTCTTCATCCTTACATGTCCTTGAAGGAGAGGCGCAGCTTGGTGTGGGTGAGCTCCTCGTAGCGTTTGCAGAGCAGGCTGAGCAGCTCCGTCTTGAAGATGGACTCCAAGAAGTTGTCGGCGTCGCTCTCGTGGAGGATGAAGAAATCATCCTGCCTGGTGCTGGGGGAGCAACCCCAGCGTGGGGGTGTCAGCGGGGGACAGGCTGGTGTCAGCCAGTGCTGAGGGGCAGCCAGGAGACCCCACTGGGTTCACCCCAAGTGGATTTGGAGGGCGATTTAGCGGGAAATGTTCCCAGCCTCCAAAGTCCCATCCCAACCACGCAGACCCCCACCATGGAGCTGGTGCCAAGGGACACACCTCAGCGAGATGCCGCTCACCGCCTGCAGCTCCACCTTCTTCTTGAGCACCTCCTTGATCTGCCCCTTCTCAGGACCTTTCTTCACCTTCTCCCGCCCGATCAGGTAGAAGTACTTGGGGGTAAGGATGAAATCCCGCTTGATGGGCTGGGAAAGGGCAGGAGCAGGAGATGAGGGGGTGTTTTTTGGGGGTTCATGAGCCCTGGCACCCATCCCACCACATGCCATGGCTTGGCCCATCCTGAGTGGCTCCACGTACCTTGAACCTGCGGTCGTACTTGGTGATGGAGTCTGCGAAATCCACCCGCTCCCGCTTGGCCAGGAACTGCCGCAGCTCTGGCCGCTCCTCCATGCCCAGGTAATCGCCCACGAAATTCCTGTTAATGCTGTTCCTCCTCCGCTCTTTGAAGTTGTAGAGGATGTTGGAGGCTGTGTGGGAACCCAAACCCTTGGCTCAGCCCTCAGCCCCTACCTGCCCTCCCAAACTGGAGTGGTGGGAGCCATCAGGGGCTGGTGGCAGCAAGAACTAGGACTTGTTTTATGCTGTGTGAGGAATCTGAGCATGGCTGGCTTCAAAACTCATTAACTGCCATCAAAAAACCTTGAGCTGTGGGAGGGAGGGAGAGACTCAGCTGCTTTCTGGGTTTTGCCCCTTGATTTTTGTCTGCGGGTGGGATAATGCCCATGATGGGGTCAGGTGGTGGCCGTTGGCCTTGCCCACGCCTCTGCAAACACTGACCCTGGGCTCCTCTCTGGCTCAGCTCAAGCAACGAAATGCAGAGCGAGAGGGAGAGAGGCGCCGGTTTCTGTCATGCACCCCTCCAGGCTGGAAATGGAGCAAAAAATCCACTCTGTCCTTCAAGATGTAGGAAGAGACCCCGGGAATCTCTGGTCTGGTCCTTCCTCACCCCACTCCTTGTTAGTGCTGCAGTTAGGAGCCAGGCTGTCGCTCTAGGCTGTCCCTGGCGAAGGGCACTCTAAAAAGGGGTGTTGGGGCGCTGTGTCCCCATCCTTACCCTCCTCTCGCATCTGCTCGTACTTCCGGATGGCGATGTGCCGGCGCCAGGCCTTCTGGATCACCCGGGCAAAGCCGTCGAATTTCCGCTCCCGCATCTCTTCAAGGAGGAAGAGCTGGTGGGGAAGATGTGGGGTGCTGAGCTCCCCCAGCTCCCCGTGCTGCATCGCTTCTGCTCCCCATCAGCACCCCAAAACCCTCCCCAAAGCGATGTTCGGCAGGGAGGAGGATGCGGGTGGTGGACCCGAGCCACCCACCGATTCGGGGTTCTTGACGAACACCTTGCTCCTCCCCATCTGGTACTGGTCTGGGTCCATGTTGACAGAGCACAGCAAGTGCTGCACCCCTTGCCGCTCGTCCCCGCGCCAGGACGGCCATGTCTCAGGGGTGAGGATGGCGTAGCTGTGGGGATAGGGGGATGTGAGTCACGGCTGGGATGTGGGGACCCCTCTGTTCTCCCCCATCCCAGTGGGTGCTCACCGTTGCAGGAATTTGTGGAAGAGGCGGCGGTAGGCGAACCCTGCCCGGCGCACTCGGATGTTCTCCTTCAGCCCCAGGTACTCCACTTGGTGCTTCACCCTGCGGAGTAGGGTGTGCATGGCAGGGGTGGGGGCGGACCTTGCCCAGACCCCTCGGCCACCAGTTTGGTGAGAGACCCTCTACAACTCCCTGAAAGGAGGGGGTAGTGAGGTGGGGTCTCTTCTGCCAAGGAACAAGCGATGGGATGAGAGGAAGTAGCCTTAAGTTGTGCCAGAGGAGGGTTAGATTGGATACGGGGAAAAATTTCTTCCCTGCAAGGGTTGTCAGGCACTGGAAGGGGCTGCCCAGGGCAGTGGTGGAGTCACCATCCCTGGGAGGGTTCAAAAAATGTGTGGATTGGGGCACTTGGGGACATGGTGGGGTCGGGTTGACGGTTGGACTTGATGATCTTGGAGGTCTCTTCCAAACTTAATGATTTGGTGATACTTGGGGCTTGGATACAGCCCCATGGTGATGCACCTGGATGCATCACCATGGCCAGGTCCCGTTCCGTGGACTCCCTGGCACATCGTGAGGGCCCTCTGTTACCTGCTCTCTTCCCAGTCCCGGGGTTTCTTGGTCTCGTTGGGTTTGATGCAGCGGATGTAGTGTGGCGTGCACTTCATTAGCGTGTTCACCAGGTCATTCGCCTGTTTCTGTTGCAAGGACCGACCTCGGTAGCATTAAAGGCGCTGGTGGGAGCCCATCACCCTGCTCCTGCCCCAGCACCAGCTCCTGTCCTGCAGTCTCTGGGACATACCTTGATTTTGGAGCCTGCGGTGGTCGGTCGTCCCTTTTTGTCTGAATCCAGTTTTTCTGGGAAAAGCATCCGGATGAAACCACTGCAAGGCAGACGACAGTTCCCAGGTGAGAGCCGCTGGGCTCCCCAAGCTGGGACAACCTCCAGCAATGCTTTCTGCTACTGGGAAATCCTGGGAGCCTGTCCCCTCCCTCCCTGAACACCCCCAGGCTGAGCAGGACGGGTGCTGGTGGGTGAGCACTCCTCTGTCCTCAGCACCACTCTGGGTGCTGCTGTGGGGTGATGCAGGGCACTGAGCACCCCGAGCTATGGCTGGGGCAGAGGCAGGACTGTTATGGTCTGGCTTGGGATCATGCCCCTCTCTGCTCTGTCCCTTTTTTGGGGTGTCCCCTTGGACCACAGTGCTGCCAGGACTCACTGCTCGCTGCTCTGCATGAGCTCGATCAAGTCGGTGAAGAGCACATCCCGGTTGCGCTCGCAGAAGCCAGTCACGTCGTAGGAGACCTGGGGACAGGGCGGGGAGCTCAGCAGCCAGGGCTGTGGGGTGCAGGGTGCAGGATTTGGGGTGCGGGGTGCAGGATTTGGGGTGCGGGGTGCCGTACCTTGCCTGCGTAGTGGTGGATGACGAAGCCAGAGCTCCAGCTGTTGAAGTGCTCATGGTTGCCCACAGCTGCCTGCATCTTCTGCAGCAGGGTCTGGTCAGCACCCTCGCCAGTGGCGTGCATGGTGGCACAGACGTCGTCCAGGACGCTCATGATCCCGGGGGGGTTCTGGGAGAGGGAGAGTGAGGCCATGGGTGCCCGAAGGCCAGGTCCTGCGTCTGCCCCTGCTCAAGCGCCCTGCACTTGTCAGCGCTGAGCCACAGCTCCGGTTAAGGTCACAGAGCTCTGCTCTCCCAGGGATGCTCCCAGCAGGACCAGATTCTGCCACCCATCCCCGACGACACCCAGCCCATCTGACACCCCCTTTCCTCCAGTATCCCCCCTGGAGGAGAAGACCCTGCTCACCAGCTTGTTCTCTATCAGGTCGCAGACCACCTTGTTGTTGAAGTACTGGATCTGGGTCCATTTGATCCCCTCCTGCACATATTCCTCCTGGGGAAGAGCAGGAAGAGCTGGGTGGACCCCAACCCACAGGACATGCCGCAGCTCCCCCTGCTTCGGCTGCAGTGACAGGGGTGCAAGGGACAGGAATCAGGGAGCCCTGCGGCACCCCTATACCTGCTCTGCCTTCAGGGTCAGCTCTATGAAGATCTGCTGCAGCTTCTCGTTCACAAAGTTAATGCAGAATTGCTCAAAGCCATTTTTCTGCAAAAGGTGAATGAGAAGATGAGGTTGAGTCCTCTCACTGCATGGGGGGGACCCCAAACAGCAGCAGCTGTGGGTGCTGATATAGGGACCCTTCCTTGGGCCATGGACTGCTTACAGCCCCCTGCTCCGGGAGCAGGGATGGACTTCCCCATCCAGGAACACACACCTGGAATATTTCAAAGCCGTAGATGTCCAGCACCCCGATGCTGTACTCCTCATATGGCTTCTGCATCGCCCGGTTGATGGACTGCAGAGAGAGACGGGGACGTGTCACCTTTGCCAGGGATGATGGCAGCGGGGCCAGGTGGCAGCATCCCCCAATTCGCTGGCACCACGCACCTCGACGAGGAAGTCGAACATGCGGGCGTAGAGCCCCTTGGCCAGGGCGTCGCGGGTGTAGGCGGCCTGCTCCACGTTGAGGGTGACCGTGATGGACTCGGAGCGGCCGCCCCACTTACTGTCCATTTTCCTGCTGGTCACCTTCTCATTGAGGCGGTCCTGGTCAATCCCCAGCAGGTAGGCAGGGAAGGCCAGGGCTGTGCAGAGGAGGAGTGTGGTCAGGGGTGCCCATACACCACTGCCATGCTGCCCACAGCCACTGCTGTATCCCCCAACCTCATCCGAGTGTAGGGGACAGCGGTGCTGCAGCAACCAGGGATGTGGGTCGTGGTCCCCCCTCTGCTAAACCACACCAGGTGACTCCTGGCATCCATCCCCTTGCTAACTGAGCTCTGTTTGTGCTGTTTGCTCGCTGCCTCAGTTTCCCCATGTCAAATGTGAGGAAGATACTGATGCTGCCTCCCTCCTCTGCCAGAGGATTTGTGCTATGCAGTTTGCAACTCATCACCAAGGGGCTCTGTGAGCATCCTTGCTCACCCCCCTGGAGCGGGGCAGGGGGGGTCGGTTACTCACAGTCAGCATTTTCCACCTGAGCGTAGTTGCCTTCCTCCCGAAAGCTGATATTTCCCAGGTGGAGGATCCCCGCCACGATCTGCAGCACCAGCTGCTGGTCCTCACCGCGGATGCCAATGACCTGCATGGCATTCTGGGGGAAGGCAGGGAGCCTGTTAGCCCCTGCCCAGCCGCCTTTGGGGACCCTCCCACATACTCCAGGCACTCACCATGGTCTCGTGGAAGTCGCTGCGGTCGTCCGTGCCGTCCACCCGGTACGTGTCCGACTGGTTCAGGTAGAAGTAATAATCCGGGCTCATGATACCCAGGTTCTGTCGCTGCTCTTGGGATGCCCCTTCGATGAGCTGGGAGAGAGATGGGGGTTGTGGTGACCCGCCCCCCTCGGCAGCCCAGCTGGCTCCGTGCCCCCCATACCTGGTAGTAGATGTGGAAATTCCTCTCGCACTCGTTCTGGCTCACCACCCGCGACTTCTCCAGCAGGAAGTTGGAGATCTTCCCCCCGTCGGGCTCGCCGCCCCGGCTGAACTGGATCTCGAAGTACTTCCCCTGCCCCGGCACAGCTCCGGCTCAGCGCCACAGATCCCCCATCAGACTCCTCGCTCCCCCCTCCAGTCCCAGCATCTCTCCCCCATCTCCCATCACACTGGGACCATCACTGGGCCTGATCCTGGCCATGGCGCTGAGACTTACGAAGCGGCTGGAGTTGTTGTTACGGACAGTTTTGGCGTTCCCGAAGGCTTCCAGCAGCGGGTTGGACTGCAGGATGATGTCCTTCACGTGCTGGGGGCAGAGGAGGGGACGGGGCTGAGCCAGAGAGGCCACACGCCAGCTCTGTGTGTCCCCATCAGACAGAGGGAGCAGGGTCCAGGGCCGCAGGGAGAGGTTTAGGTTGGGAGATGAAGCGATGGTTGGTGGCGGGGGGCACACAGCCGTACCTGCACTTTTTCGCCACCTCCGGACACTTTGGAGATGTAGCCCATGATGTATTTTGCTGCCACCGTTTTCCCAGCTCCACTTTCTCCGCTGTGCAAATGTGGAAGCAGAGGAGATGTAAAATGGGCCCACTGCAGCCGGGTGGCATGCAGAGCAGGGCTGGGGGGCGATGGTGGGTGACAGGGGCTGTGGCCTCCCTCCTGCCATGTGCTCAGAGCATGTGGCCGCTCTCATAACAGGGACGGGGCTGCTCGGGCCTCTGGGGGGGCTCTGGGATGTAAGCGGGGTCGGAGCAAGGCTGGGTGAGGAGCTGCTCTGAGGTGTTGGATTTCTTGGTGCTGGATTTTGGAGGGAGCCGTGGGGGTGTCAAGGGGAAGTCTCAGGCCTTGCCCCACATCCTGACCATTTGCTTTGCAACACTCGGCCGGAAAAACGTGTTACACAAGGCTGGGTCCCTGCCTGGGACAACCCTGTGGCAGCCCCTGCTGATGCTTGGGGTCTGGGGTCCCTCCAGGCACCCCCATATGCTGGCACCCCCAGGAGCCACCACTGGGCTTCAGCTGCCTCTCATCACTGCTTTTAACTGGGACATCCCTAGGGTATGGGGAGAAGGGGTGAGGGGGGCAGGTGTCCCCAGACAGGTGGCAAGGGGTCCCCAAATGTGCCCTCCTCGTACCTGATGATGACGCACTGGTTCTCACCGTCGATCAGCATGTTGCGGTACATGTTATCAGTCAGGGCGTAGATATGGGGGGGGTTTTCATACTGAGCCTAAATGGGGGCACAGGGACAGCAGCGCTGAGCACAGAGCAGCCAGCAGCTCCCCCCTCCCTGCCCTGAGCCCCCTCCCCAAATCCTCCTAACCCTGACCATGCATTGCACGGGGCAGTGGCACGCGGCAGGGATGGGAAATGAGTCTCTGGCCACAGACATGAGGTAATCAGCCAAATATCAGATGATTTTTTTGACTCTTCCCTCCTCTTTGTGAAGCTTGGCGTGACAGGGCGAGTCGCTCGGGCTGAACTTTACCATGTTTGGGTATTTTGCTGTGTATTTATCAGCTGAATTTCCCAGGAATGTGGTGTTTTCTCCCAAGACTTATTACTGACTCCATCCATGTGCTGACCTCTGCAGCATCCAAAGGGCTGGGGAGGATGGGGACACACATGGGACCCCCAGTCCCAGATATTTTGCACTAAATGAAACCTGGTGATGCCCCAGGGGACCCCGTCAGCCGCAAGCAGCAGCCTCACCGCCCCCTGGTACAGCTCGATCTCCCGGTCGGTGAAGTACGGCATCTGCTTGAAGGGGTTGACGGAGATGAGCACTGGCCCGATGTAGGTCTGGGTGGCAGGTTAAGGTCTGTCCCTCTGTCCTTCTCCATGTCCTGCTGTCCCTTCCCGCCCCGCTCGCCATGGTGGGTGGTTTGGGGCTGGTGGTCCCTGTCCCTTTCTGGGAGCTCCACCAGGGTTCCCCAGCCACAGGACCCCAGCACTTAGCTCCCTTGGCCCCAGGGTGTCCCCCTGGGTTTGACTGGCTCAGCGTACAGCAGGAGCATCCCCTTGGCTCCTCGGCTTCTGACTGAGCATGGGCTCCAAAATCTGCATTCCCAGCATCCCAGCATTCACCCACTGCTCAGCGCCTTTTGCAGCGGAAGACTGACTCCATTTTACATCCAGGGAAACTGAGGCACGAAGAGGTGAGAAGGTGCCAGCTTCTGTCTAACCTCTCCCCCTCCCAGCATCCCCACATCACCTGAGTGTGGGCAGGAGGGGGGAAATGCGGGGAACTGCGCCTGGAAATGACTCGGTGGCAGATAGGGGTGACCCCCCCTCCAGTGTTTCAGGTGGCTCCGAGCCCTCTGGGTCCCTTTTTCAGTCCCCCTGACAGCGGGATAGGGGAAAAGGAGCCGGAGGGCAGGAAAGGGAACTGCGCCTGGAAATGACTCAGTGGCAGATAGGGGTGACCCCCCTCCAGTGCTTCAGGTGGCTCCGAGCCCTTTGGGTCCCTTTTTCAGTCCCCCTGACAGTGGGATAGGGGAAAAGGAGCCGGAGGGCAGGAAGAGAGGGGCTTTTCTGGGAAATGCAGAAGCGTGGGGTGTTGAGTCATGGCAAGACGGGGCCAGCACAAAAAAAAGGAAGAAAGAGGCAGCATGGGGTATTTTTTTTTCCTCCGAAAAAAGAAACCAACCCAAAAAACCCCAGCCCCTAAACACATTTAAAGCCCCAGGGCTGCTGAAAGAGCGGGGAGGGTGGCTGCATCACCGCTGGCTGGGACAGAGCATCACCTTGTAAGGCCAGAGCATCTTCAGGGAAACCACAGCCACCCACAGCAGCTCAGCCCCACGCTCGGCCCTGAGCCCCTGCCATGATGCGAGGATTTTCTCTTCTTCCCCATGGGTGCATCTCCAGGCAGGTGTGGAGTGTGGAAGGGATCAGTGCCTCGAATTGTGGGGGCACCAGGGAGTCTGAGAGCTGCTCAGCAGTGTCAGTGCCGTGACAGGAACCAGCGACTGTAAAAGTGTCTGGGCTGGGGGTGGCACAATGGGGGCAGCACGGGGCATGGGGGGAGCTTTGCACCTCGGGGTGGCTTCTCAGTGTCCTCCATGGCCTGAGAGTGGTGGCACTGCCTGCATCCCCCGTATCCGCAGGGATGCTCCTGCACCTCCAGGGTCTGTTTGGATGTGCTGCCGGTGCAGAGCAGCCAGGGCACGCTGTGGGCATGGTTGGGGTGGGGAACAGCGGTGGGGGATGATGGCCATCAAAGCCATGGGGGTCCAGCCCCCTGAGTGCAGGCAGGTGGGTCGCCAAATCACCCAATCATTAAGGTTGGAAGAGACCTCAAAGATCATCAAGTCCAACCGTCAACCCAACCCCACCATGCCCACTCAACCATGTCCCCAAGTGCCACATCCACATGCTTCTTGAACACCTCCAGAGATGGGGACTCCACCACTTCCCTGGGCAGCCCCTTCCAGTGCTTGACCACTCTTTCAGTAAAGAAATTTTTCCTTATTTCCAATCTAACCCTCCCCTGGTGCAACATGAGGCCATTTCGATGAGTGCAACTCAGCTCAGGACCAGCAGCATCCCCTGGCCTATCCCAACCTCATCCCACCACACTGTGGGGACAGGACACTGCAAGGATTGGGGCAGCCCAAGTTTGACCCTGGCAAATCCCTGGAGCGCAGCTCCCTGTCCACGTCCCTCTGCCCTGGGAAGGATACAAAGATGTAATCGTCCATAAAACGCTTCTTGAGGTTCTCCACGATGGCCTCCTCAGAGATCTTGGACAGCAGGACCATGTCATCCACACCGCTCTGCTTGACATTGTGGCTCTGCCAGTGGAATCGCTCCTTGCTGCCCTGGGGGAGAGGGCCACAGCGCTGCCTCGGGGCCACCACCCATGGGATGAAGCTACTACCCATGGGATGGGGCTCCAGGCCTGGATCTGGTCCCAGCTCCCCTTGAGTTGCTGGTACCTATGACTGGCTTGTGGCCCCAAATCAAAATCTTTGAGTGGGGCAAAGATGGGATTTTTTTATTTTTTTGGCCATATTTGAAATTTGCAAATCTCAAAATTCCAGCACTGCTGCACTTGAGCTTACCCCATCCCTCTGGCAGCCTGTGGGCACCTTTGTACCATCACCCTATGGAGCTAATGAAGGCCTAATGAAGCAATTAGTGCCCAGGCTTTGCTCATGAGTCAAAGGGGCAGCAAAAATAACCCAGGGGAAAGGCACGAAGTGCAGCTGGTGGGGCATCCCCTGGCACCATGTGTCCTCTGCGCCCCCACGTCCCCTTCACACCGGGGTGGACGTGTGACTGTGCCATCACCCCTTCAGCACCCCCTTTCCAGCCGCCCCCTGGTTCACCTGGCTCTGTCCCCCAGGGCCATGGAGCAGGAGGAAAAGCCCTCGTGGGGGTAAAACCAGCCCTGGGCTGGGAGGGGAGGGCACAGCTTGACTGTGCAAAAATAAAACTGCCCAAAGGGCCCTGGTCCTCAGTGCTGCAGAGGAAACTGAAGATGGCCATGGTGGCCTGGAGGGGACCCCCCTGTCTGGACCTGCTCAGGGCCCCCGTGGGCCTGTCCCATGGCCCCCACAGTTCCGCTTTCACCCCAGCACTCCTGGCACCGATTTCACTTCTCCTCCCCCCATCACCCCTGGCCTCTTACTCTTTCCATTTCCCTTTTCTTCTCTTCCCCTTTTGCTTAATTTTCCTGCTGGTTCTCAAGATTTCAGGCCTCCAGACCCCAACACCTTTGCACCCTCCCAGCCCCCCCTGATTTTCACAGCCCCCTGCACCCTCAGATGCTCAGTGCAAGCCGGTACCATCACCTCAGGGGACAGAGCGACCACCGTGGAGCACAGAGGGGTTTGGAGGCATCATTTTAGCCCTCCCTGGCCGCCTTCCTCCCTGCCGGCCTCTGCAACCCAAAATATCATTCACGCCCCCCAAACCCCAAATGCAACTCAAGCCCCCACAGCCTTCTGGGGGGCTTTTGGCTTTGTTGTCCTACACCCTTCCCATGGGATGCATGGACCTGGGCAGCTAAGGGGGTCCAGGGGGGATCGGAGTGGCTTATGCAGCCTGAAAACACATGGGGAGCTTCTCTTTGTTCCGTTCATTGCTTATGGGCCTTTTTCTTGCCCCTATTCCCCTTCCTCCACTCCCTAATAAGCCCCTAGGAAAGCCACCCAAAAAACCACTGGCGGGCCCAGTGATGGGGTCCAGATCACCTAGGGAGCTACTAGTGACCCCAAGAGCTGCCAAGTTTCAACCCATCCTCGCCAAAACCTTGTGCTTCAGTGGAGAGGAGCAGGTCGGAAGGAGCCCAGCACCTTGGGTCCCTGTCCCCTGCCTCCATGGCCTTAAGTGCCCCGGTGCAGTCTCCCCAGGGCTTGCAGGCCTGTTAACAGCACCAAATTAAGGCAAAATACGAGCATTTCCTGTATTGCAAACTCAACACTCTCAAGCTGACACCCGGAGTAGTTTCTCCTTCGTTAAACGGCTGCTCAGAGCTCTCAGCAGCGAGCGGGGCCATCACCACCTCCTCTTCCTCGGACACAGGGCAGCGGCTTTCCTGGCCCAGCCCAGCTGCAGGGAAATCACCCGCTCACTTTAAATGAAGGTTTTGTCCCCTATATCTACAGAGCCGTGGGTGTTTCTGCCCCATTTTGGGGAGCACAAAGGCTGCCCGGGTTTCCTTAGGATGTCCTGAGAGATGTTGCAGGTGGTTTGCAGGGCTGGGGCTTGCTAAATGGGGTAAAAATCTTGTGAGGAAGAATGAAGAGGAAAGATGCTGCTCAAAACCATGGCCCTGCCCCAGCTTAGCATCCCCAGAGCCCTTGAGAGACCAAGACCAAACACCTCCGTGAGGCCATTCCACCCTCAAGTCGAGCAAGGGGTGGTTTTCAGCAGCCCTTGGCCCAGGCTTTGCTCTGCCAGCGGCCCCATACACGCTGGGGGCCTGTGTGGAGACCCCCCTGGAGCACCCCAGCCAAGGGCTGTGGGATGGGGACCCTCACCACCACCTGTGCAGGGCTGCGGATGTGCAATGGGGTGGCTGACACGGGGAGGGGAGCAGCCCCGCCGCAGTGATCACAAAACATCGTCTGTTTTTCTTCAAAGCTCGGGTCTGAGCCACCAAAAAAACCTTGCAAGCCCGAGGTGGCACCTTTCATTCCGAGATAAGGCAAACCCCGATGCAGCCAACACCTTAAAACCACCGGAAGCCTCGCGTGCAGCATCGCTGGCACAACCCCGCCAGGTCCCAGGCACAGGCAGGGTTTGGGGAGAAGATATTTCTCCCCACGTTTTGGGGATGGGGACTGGCTGTGGAGCAGGGACGGGGGTCGCAGCAGTGCAGCCCTTCACGAAACCACAAAACATCTTTGAGTTTTGGGTTTTGGTGGGGAGGGGACGGTGTTTGCAACTTGGGGACAGCATCTGAGCATCCTCTCAGAGGTGACAACCGCGACCGTGAGTGGGAGAAGGCTCTGTTTCAGTCTGGCCCCTTCCTGGTGGGGTGGAAATGGGGGACAGCATCACCCCACAACACAGCAGGAGCAGAGCCGCATCCTTCAGCCCGCGGCTGTGGGCACATCGTGCAGGCTCTTCCTCCCCAGTTTTGAGAGCTTTCATCTTCCTCTTCTGCCTCCAGATCACCTTCCATCTACTGCCCTTCCAGCAGCCCTGCTCATGGGCCCTGTCCCCCAACACGCCAGGGTGCAAGGTCAACCCTGGGCACCAACACCCACAAGGCCACGGGGGGTACGGCTGTCCCTGGCAGCCACCCCTCTCTGCCCGCACCTTGCTCTGCCCACACCCTGCCTGCACCACAAGCGTGAAACCAGCAGCGCTGGTGGGAAGCTGGGCCAAGAGGAACACCCAGGTTCTCCTGTGGGTACCGCACCGGTGACAGCAAAATCAAAACCACTTTGTGCCAACCCAGTCTCACCTCTAAATGGCCTCCGTCCTGCTCATGTCAGTGCTCCCTGACCCTGCACCCAGCACCCATCTCCGGCTGGTCTCTACCACTGTACCCTGCACCAGGGCCTCACCCAGCTCCACTCCCTGTCCCCATGTCTGGAGGCCACTGTCCCCTCTCCAGTGGGGATGGTGAGTGGGCCCCTGGCACCTCCCAGACAGCAGCAAGGGACCACAGTGGGTACAGGAGGGGAAAGGGCTGAGGTAGCCCAGAGGTGGCAGGAACTGAGGGTGACAGCCCCACAGTGCCCGAGGGAGACGGGGTTGGGGGAGCCCGATGAGGGCCACCCTGCACTCACCATGGTGTCCCTGCGTCTCGCCCCCGGGGACGGGGCACTCGGGGCTCCTGTCACCGAGGGCCCAGGTCCATCCCAGAGCTCATCGCTTTCGTGTTTCTGCTGCAAATACAAATCGCAACTCAATTGTTTTGTTTTTCCTCCTCCCACTTCCTCATTTGGTGCCGATTTGCTGGGGGATGAGGGCGGCTCTTGGCTGCTGGGGGGGGGAAACTTGGGGTGGCCCTGCCCAGGGTGACCCCACCTCTGCCGCAGACAGGTGCTGCTGGTGGCAGGGGTCACCCACCTGGGCCAGCGGGGAGTCCGGCAAGGATGGACAGGGCACCCCCAAAGCCATTTCCCCCGCCCTAAGGTGACAGTTTGATGTCACCCCTCAGTGGTGGAGGAGGCTCTACTTTGAGGTGGTTTTGGGAGCAAGATGCTTTTGGTTGCTGCTGCTTTTTTTTCCAAAAAAGGCCACAACCTGAGGAAATGTTTGGGCTACAAATGGGCTGAAGCCATTTCAGAAAGGCCATTGCTGGTTGTTGGTGTGGGCCTGGCTCTGTCAGTGTGGGCCCAGCTCCGTCAGTGTGGGCCCAGCTTCATTGGTGTGGGTCTGGCTCTGTCAGTGTGGGCCTCGCTCTGTCAGTGTGGGGCTGGCTCTTGGTGCAGGCCTGGCTCCATCAGCGTGGGCCCAGCAACTCAATGCTCAGCCCCTCAGCAGAAAGCAGTGAAAAGGGGGCAAAGAAACCAGGTCTGCTGCAGCCTCAGCGCTGTTCCCCACTGCCACATCACCACTGTCCCTGCAGACCTGCCGCCCTGGGACGGCTCCTCTCTGGGCCACCTCTCTGGGCAACCTGGTCCAAGTCTTCACCGATCTCATTGTAAAAAATTTCTTCCTTATACCTAGTCTGAATATCCCCTCTTGTAGTTTAAAACCCATCACACCAGACCCTACAAAAACCCCTGTCCTCTGGTTCTCCAGCACAAGACCTGGCACAAACCTTCATGTCACTCTCCAGGAGAACCAGCCCAAGGGATTCAGGGAAGCATTGTTGGTGTTTCAACCCACAGATGTGTACTTCATCAAATAAAACCCTCCTAAAATCCCAAACCAGCATTCCCAGTATGGGGTCTGTGCGGCCCTGGGGTGCCCAGCCAACCCATGAGGGGTTTGCCAAGGAGAAGCCTGCCCAGAGCCCAGGCTCGACAGCCGAGAAACAAAACTGGGACCAGAAGCTGCACCCGGGATCAAAGCTACTCCTTTATTATAAATCATGCCGTTACGTCGCTCCTCCTCAGAGTTAGTACGTTAAACATTTTTCATTATATATATATCTATATAAAAAGGTGAAAAACACCCCCTCCCCTCCCAAAAATGTCAGAATGGAGCATGGCACCAGGAAGGAAGACAAATGAACGCTTGCTCGACAGCCGGACGGGATTTGCTGAGCACCAGGAAAGCTGTGATCGGCTGATGAGCGGGTGAAAATACAGATTTCTGGAGTAACACAGGAGGGCTGGCAGGGTGGAGAGGTTCATTCTGGGGACAGAGGGCTGTCCGCTCCCCTGCACCTACAGATGACCCCCAAGGGGAATGCAACATGGCTTTGGACAAGATTTCCCATCTTTGTGATGCAGAAAGGCCTGAAAATAATCATAGTAATAACAACAATAATAACAATAATGATACCAAAAAGAACATGCTGTATAGATTAGATATTCAGGTCTCCTCTGTGGGCTGCGGTGGCCCATGGAGAAGATGTGTGTTGGCCACATTTGGCCAGGAGGTGACCTGGAGGAATTTCAAGCCTGCTCTTTTCCCATCACTGGAGGTCTCCTGGGGGCAGAGGAGTGGGTGGCGCTGGGACCAGCACCCCGAAGCCACAGCAGCATGCGGCGAGGCTGCCTTTGGAAGCAAAGCACCTTTTGGAGGCAAAGCACCTTTTGGAGGCAAAGCACCTTTGGAAGTAAAGCACCTTTGGAGGCAAAGCAGCCATGGAGGCTGTGGTGTTTGCTGGGGGGGCTCTGCCAGGACCAGGCAGACTGGTCCCAAGTCACAGCTCAGCAATGGGGACACTGGGACTAAGACAGTCCTGCATCCTCCTTTGCTTTGCTTCCTGCAGCCCAGCACCTCTTAAGTGACTGCAATCCCGAGCACACTTCAGCCCTGACCTCAGCTCATGCTTTGAGGTGTTTCTGGAATAAAAAGTGGTCAGAATAGTGACAAGGGCTTTAAGGAAAAATAGGGGCACACCCCAATCAAAGTAGGTTGTTAAGCGAGTTCGAATAACTCCCTCTCCCAGTTAAACTGGTGTCACCGCTCTGCTCACTGTGTGACTGCTCCCTGTCCCCTGCTGCATGTCCCAAGGTGACAGGACGCAAACCAAAGAAACAAAACTCCTGCGTCAACCCCGCTCCCACAGCAGCTCTGCTACACCCACTGCCCTGAAGCCACAAGCTCCGCTTGTCACCCATGCCACCTGAAACCCCTCCCTGTCCCCCCAGGGATGCCCAAGGGAAGGCATCAGACCCTGACACAGTCTCCCTGGAGATGTCCCACCATGGTCCCCACCACCCCATGATGCCCTCGGGACACAGGCACAGAAGAGGATGAGGCAGGAGCGGGGCAAGTGGTGCCGCTTTAGTGGCCGCAAGACCTGGGCCTGCGACTAATAAATAACATCAGAATTTCAAGTAATGTCCCTGCTGCCGCGCTCTGCCCAGCTTCTCCCTCTCCCACCACTCACGGACCGGCTCCTGTTGCGCTGGGCCGTGGCAGCATCTGCAGTGGCTGGCAGTGGTTTAACTGGGAACCTGCCATTGCGAAGCTCAGGGGCAAAGGGTGCGTGTCTTTGGGGGACGGGTTTGGGTGACGCCGGCTCCTGCTGGAAGCACGACCGGTGTCTGTGTTGGACCCAGGGGAGATTCCCAGGGTGGAGGGGAAGGGCACGGCTTGGTGGCCCCTCTGGCATAGCTTTTGCCTTCCAGTTTTCCCACGGGGGTCACGCTGTGTCCCTAGTGCCCCTGGCACGTTTTACAGCACATCTGTCGGAAGTAGGTCCGGCTGCAGAACTTGAACTTCAGGACGAGCGGGCAGTAGGCCACCTTGTTCACATCCTTGCACTCTGGATGGGCGACAGAGGGAAGCAGAGTGAGAGGGTGAGGAGCCCTGCCTGCAGAACTTCTATGCACCCCATACCCAGCTCCTGGGGGGTGTTTGTCAGGCAGCAGCAAGATGCAGCCGTGCTGAAGAATTGCAGAATCACAGCATAGTTGGGGTTGGAAGGGACCTCTGGAGATCATCCAGTCCAAGCCCCTGCTAGAGCAGGGTTCCCCAGAGATCACCCAGGAACATGTCCAGGGGGGTCTGAAGAATGTCTTCAGAGAGGGAGACCCCACAAGCTCTCTGGGCAGCCTGGTCCAGGGCTCTGGTATCCTCACAGTGAAGAAGTTTTTCCTTATGTTGAGGTTGAACCTCCTGTGTTCCAGTTTGTGACCACTGCCCCTTGTCCTGCTGCTGGGCCCTACTAAGAAGAGTCTGATCCCATTCTTCTGACTCCTGCCCTTGAGATATTGATAAGCATCAATGAGATTCCCCCCTCAGTCGCCTCTTCTCCAGGCTGAACAGCTCCAGCTCTCTCGGCCTTTCCTCATATGGAAGATGCTTCAGTCCCCTCATCATCCCAGTGGCTCTACACAGGACTCTTTCCAGTCTCCTTTTCCTTCTTGAACTGAGGAGCCCAGAGCTGGATGCAGTATTGCAGATGTGGCCTCCCCAGGGCAGAGCGGAGGGAGAGAACCTTACTCAACTGACTGGCCTACTAAAGAAGCAGCTACTGAGACCCTCACTATGGGAAGCCTCTCTTTGCAAAGGTGCAGTTACTTCATTTGCCAGGGTCATGGCGTGCCAGTTTGGACCAGGACCAGAGAGGACAGCATCAGGCCTCTCCACAAGAGCCTCATCCCACAGCAAAGAGCCCAGCTTGGGCTGTGCTGCCTCTGGTGTCCCTGTACCATGTGGTCCCCGAGGGTGGCAGTGCTCCACGTGTCCCCCTCCAGCCCCCTTCATCTCCCTCACCTTCCGGGTTGTCTGTAGGTCCCGATTCACACTTGGTCTCGCACTGCTGCATGCCAGGCGGCTGCAGGGTCTCCATGCAGTCACTGGACGGCTGCCCGGTGTGAGCCAGGCACTGGACGGATCTTCTCTGCTGGCCGAGGCCACACTGCGCAGAGCACTGCAGGGAAACAGCACAGCACCAAGCTGCAGCGGCCACACCACTGCTTCGGTAATGCAGGGGGAGACGGCATGGCCAGGGCTTGGGCAGTGTAAATGGCCTGGGTGCTCTCATCCTTTCCCTTGCCAGCAGCTGCAGGGACCTCAGGGCTGTACACGGTGGTCCTGCTTCCTGAAAAGCTTGGTTTGACAGGGAGATGAGGTGCTTAGAGCCATAATTTGGGCAGGTTATAGTTGGAGTCAATGATCTCAAAGGTCTTTTCCAGCCCAATGACTCTATGAACCTCTGGACTCAGTGAGGGTCTCACCATTCAGCCCTAAATCACTGGCCTTTTCCACGCCTCTTGCACCCCGATGTCACCCTGCAGCTCAAGGGGTATTAAAGGGAATGGGGGCTGTCAGCATCACCTCGCTGCAGATGCTGGGCCGTGGCAGGTGGACCAGTGGTGGCCCCACTTGCAACCAGCCCAGCCCACCTCTGCAGCCCATCGCTGCCACTGCACCACTCTGCTGCCCACCAGGTACCCGTGGGGACCCTCCAAGGTCCCTGCTAGGCTCAGGAAAGTCGTTAGGTCTCTCACCCTGGGATGGTGTGCATGGGCCACCCATCAGAACAGCTTCCTGAGCCAAGGTGGGGGGCAAAGAACACTGCCATGGGGTCCTGCTGGCCCCTAGATAGTTGTGGTGGCCACATCAGGTTCTGCTGGCAGGTAAAAGCCTCATGTGCACTAGGATTTGAGGGGCTGGGGGGGGGAGTATTCTCCTTCAATACCACCACGGAAAGGCTCGTCCCTACCTCTCCCCACTCGCCAGTCACCCAGCGCGGTGGTGGGCAGCGCCGCAGGTTGCACCTCATGCTCGTCGGGGGCTTGGAACCTTC